CCGGAGGGTCTGCCTGCTTCTGCCCTCTGCCTGTGGCCGATGGGGGGACTGGTGCTTCTGGAATCCGGGGTGGTGGGTTTGCAGGGGGACATCCTCAGATAGGCCCTGCAGTCTTAAGCAATTTGAATGTGCATTATGGCAAGGGTTCAGGGATACATTTCTGTCTGCATTGTCTAAGAGATGATCCTGGATAGTATTTTGAACGCGAAAGTGTCATTTCCTTCTTTGGTGGAAGTGTTTGTAAAACCTTTGACCTGTGATTTTACCAAAACCCAGTAGTTTTCTTGTTAAACAATCACATGAATGGTGGTGTTTTATCAGTTAATAAGCAGTTAACGTGTGCAAATGCTTACTCACGTTTTCCTTTCTATGTTTCCTCAGCTGCAGAAGCAGTTTGGATTTGAATATCAGACGCTGGTGGACGGTGAAGTTATCCTTCATCTCTACAACAGAGGAGGAATAGAACAAACAGCGTCCATGCTGGATGGTGTATTTGCTTTCATCCTTCTGGACACTGCCAACAGAAAAGTGTTTCTGGCGAGAGATACCTATGGGGTCAGACCACTGTTTAAGGTGCTGACTGATGATGGATTTTTGGGTGTCTGTTCTGAGGCAAAAGGTAAAACCACCTGTGCTCAATGCCTAAATAATCTCGGGTGTTGCTGTTGGAGACGAACTGCTTTGTCAGGCTTTTCTTCTAAGTGTGAAGAGAAAATGAACTTAAGTTCAGTGTTTAGTAGTATAAGAACTGCACATAATTAAAACCCACAGACAGTAGACCTCTAAGATGTTCAATTGTCTTTAATATCTCCAAAATAACTTGCTTGTTTAATTTTATGATTCTTTGTGTTCTGGAATCATAGCAGTATTGAGCCCAAGATGTTTTATGTTGCCCCAAAGTTAAACATAGTCTGTAAGAGTTAGGCTAGATTTATACGGTGATAAATTATATTGGAATTTGTTCCTGGTGTTCTATGGTGAACTGGGAAATAATGCCACAAGAACTGCTAATCTGTAAAAGCCAAGACCTGTAAAATGCTACTGAAATTTCCTGCAGCATTGGGTAATTTTCTAGTGACAGTTTATTTGATGATGATTTTTTTTACCTTTGAGATGACACATCCACTGCTCTGGTTTTTGTTCGTTTTTTGGTTGTTTGGTTTTTTAAAGTAATTATCTCTAGTCTTGACACACGCATAAACAAATCCAAACAGTGCCAAAAGGGAGTTTATTGCCTAAAATGCACTTTGGCTAAAATTGAGTTTCACAATTCCTCGTGTCTCTGCCGTTTATTGCGTATCAGTTTTATTGTCAGGCTCCAGTGTAGGCTGGCTCCTCTGCTCGTACTCCGTACTGGTACGAAGAGCTGTACCATCTCTGCTTCCTGGGGAGGAAGGAGGGGAGGGAGTATTTTAGGGGCCGTGAATTACCTGTCCCCCTCGCACAGCAACTCACTGTCTCTCTTGTGGAGTTCCTCAAGGGGCGCCCAGGTGACTGGCAGGTGCAAAACACCCTCTTCCACAGGAGGAGTGGAAATCAGGTTTGGCTACGAGTCTGATCCTTGGCATTGATCAGCAGTGGTGTAGATCAGTCTGGAACTGATGGGTTATGAAATCTCTACGGCAATGTCGATTAAGTAATCACTTCAGTGATGTAGTTTTATTACAAACCACTTGATAGCTTGACTACACTTAATTTTAAACACAGAATCAGTTACTAATTGTCATTTGAATCCTCGTAAGCCTGGATATCATGGGGTCAGGTAGAAGAGTGCTCTCCTTAATGCTCCCAGGGACCCTTGGCAATTAGTAAAACTTGCCGACTTCCCTTCTCTCCTGTCTGCCCCAGTTTGAGGCAGCTCAGATCCGTGTGTGTAACCTGCCAGAAGCAGAATCGTGCTCTAGCCAGGGCAGGCTCCGTCTCAAAATGATATTTTTGAGAACCACTTTAGGATCTGGAGAAAATATTTGTATGTAGTTTTAGTACAGAGGCTGTTGAGTGAGGTATGACTTCACCATCCTACGTCGAAAACTGACTTTTGGTTTTTTTCCCCCCCATTTTATCTGTAGGACTTATTAACTTAAAGCATTCAACATCCTTATGTCCTAAAGTGGAACCATTTCTCCCGGGTCATTATGAAGTGTTGGATCTAAAGCCCTCTGGCAAGGTTGCCTCAGTGGAATTAGTAAAATTTCACAGCTTTAGAGATGTTTTTTTTTCGTGTGATACAGTGGAAACTCTGCCTTCAGGTAGTACAGCAAAGCATTTGCTACTTACTCTGATTAAAAAGTGAAAAAAAAAAAAAAAATCTTTGAATATAAAATTACCATTGATTGGTTTTAAAAAGTGACATTTAAAAAAAACCCTAGAAGAACCTTTATAATGTAGAGACTTAAGTATTGGTTTTGTGGCAGTCAGGTACAAAAATGAGCTCGCATGCCCTCCTTACCGAAGGGAATGCGGACAAATCTCTTTGTTTCCTGGGAGCATAATCCAGCAAAGTCGAAGCAACGCTTCTTGGATTGATTTTTTTTTTCCCCCCTCTTCTTTCTGGACAGGCTTTGATCTTGAAACAGTGAAAAGCAACATCCGTATTCTGTTTGAAAACGCTGTTAGAAAGCGTTTGATGGCTCACAGGAGGATTGGCTGTCTTCTCTCAGGTAAGTAGCAAGAATCACAGTGATTCTGTGTCTTCTCTCTCTTTCGCCCAATCCCTTACCAGTTAGAGGCAAGTGTACTGGCTGTTCTGCTGTGATGCACCTGAACTGATCTGAATCTTTGTATGCTTCGAGAACAGGGAAGTTGTTAGTTTGTGATAAAGTTTTCCACTTTACAAGTATCTTGAAAGTCTCGTGCTTTTAAAGTTTACTCTGGGCTGGGATATTGGCTTGTTGAGGCACTGGCCATTTTTAACTGAGAGGAAAGAAATACAATATTCTCTCTGAAAAATCACCCAATATGCTCCTAAATATGCGAGGTTTTTGCTTAGGTTGGTGTCTGAGAAGAAAATGTAATTATTACATTCGCTTTACGCAGACTGAGCATAGAAAAAAGCCGTGGCACGTTTCGAACAGCAGGAGGAAGTGAAGTTCCTGTCGCCTTTGTTGCTTTTGCCTCCATCCTAGACCACCCTTGATCTACCAAATTACAGGGCGCCATCTGGACCAAAATTATTCGCTACGCTCTTTTTTGAGGGGAGGCGATAGCTTGGGGTACAGGAAGTTGTTCACCGACGTAGCTGGTCCGTGTCGTGGTCTGGTGGTTCCGTGTTGCACAGGTACTTTGCGGAGGTAGGGCCTTGTAGCCAGGGGACTGACCTCTTGTTTACTGGGGTTTTGTAGCCCTGGTGGGTAGGGCTCTGGTACGCTGTTCAGGCACTGGTTGAGCATCAGTAACTGCAGTCATTTGTCATGATTCAATGTGCGTTTGAATGAGGGAGCACTGGCCGGGCGATGCGGTTGGGCCGTGTCCTTACCGGGGCATCATAAAAAGCAGGAGGGAGGTGAATGAAACGGGGAGATACGCAGAGTTGGAAGATCCCCGCTTCAATAAAAGCTGCTCAACCCCCAAATTTCAGCTGTCAAGTGAGAAGGCAGTCAGCAGCTCCTCAGACGCACACGCAGGACGTATCAGTGGCAGAACTAAGCGCCCCTGCGGGTGTAACGCCAGGGTGTCTCCGTGCTTTGCAGTTTTGGGCGTGCTGGAGCGTCACCGTTGGAGAAGTGCTTTTGTTTCCCGTCACGGAGGGAGTTCTGCAGCTTCCCGGGGGAAACTGGGTTTGATTTCCCCGATTCCCGCACCGTGAACGCTCCGTTTGACCGCTGCTCTCCGTTTCTCAGGCGCTGCACGTCGTTCCTACAGAGGGAGGGTTATTTTTTTGGCGGGGCGGTGTGCCCGCGGAGGGGCTCAGGGCGGGAGTGCAGGCTCCTGCGCTCAGCCGAAAACCCCCGTGCAGACTGTAGGAACCAGAAGAGGATTTTGCCTTGTGCTTGGCAGAACTGCAGGCAGGGGTGGGTGTTCTGCTCAGTACCTCAGAGGGGAGCAGCAAGTGGAACTAGTCAAGGATTAGCAGAATTAGCTCATAAGAAGGTGGAGCCTTGCAGTGCATCTGGGCAGCCTGTGCATCCCTCGGTTTTATTTTTTGTTCGTTTTCCAAGCTGTTCAAATCCTTCCGCTGTCGTCCTCTGGGAAAGAAGAGGAGGGGAAAAAAAAAAAAAAAAGAAGGTCACTGGTGAACCTTTTCGCTCTGAAGTGATGTTTAAAAAACTAATTCCACTCAAAATGTGTGAAATGCACTTTTGAAAAATGGTTGAGGAAGAGTGGAGTCCTTACGCTAAACCTTCTGTTCTTTTACTTAATTCTTTTTTATCCAGACTGCAAACCAAAAAACTATTTACATCATTCTGTCAGCAGAGTATCAAATGGGTGGGTAAGAGGAGGATAGAGAGTGGCTTTGAAACGGAGAATAAATCCCAGTGTAGCAGAGTTGAGAAGGGGCATGTTCTGTATGTTTTCAGAATATTTTGTGTGTATCTGAAGAAGGATTTTCACTGATGCTTCTGACACCAAAGTACTAACAGCTGTTACTGAAGATATTCCACTAAAGATGCCTGATTCTCTTTTAAGCAGGGGTAAATGTGCCCTTGTACAAGTACCTTGGGTTCACACAGCTTAAACCTGACGCCCACTCATGAGATTCTGCTTATCTGGATTCAAGTGTCCCTAAGGGGAAACCAAAACCAGTCAAAACACCTGACCAAATAATTTGTTTTGTTGGCAGGGGGCTTGGATTCCAGCTTGGTTGCAGCTGTTCTTCTGAAGCAGATGAAAGAAATCAACATCAACTACCCATTGCAAACCTTTGCAATCGGAATGGAAAACAGTCCTGACTTACTGGCCGCCAGAAAGGTACGGTGGTAAGCGTCGTGTTCGCTTTGTCCCGAGCTGCTGGGTGCTAAAGGGTGGATGTGAGCGGTGCTGGCTCCGTGGTGTGGTGTTAATAGTGACACTGAATGTTCAGGTGTTGCTGTGATGTAACCCAGCTTGCGGTAAATCGTTTGGTACAACGTTTGCTGCTTAGTTTATCTTAAAAAAAAAAGAGTTAATTGAGCCTTACCTGTGTGCTCTGGCGTTTGGAAGGCTTTAAGGACAGGCTCCCGTTGCGCTGTTAGCAAAAGGACGGTGCTTTGGAGTTGTGTCCGTTCTGCCTCGGGGGTTTTAGGGTCAATCCCCGTGCCGCAGCTCCCGTGCGATGACGTTGGGGTATCTGTTAAATACTGTGAGGGAATCGTCACTGGGAGCCTTGTGCAAACTGCTTGGCGGCTGGGGTGCCCTTTAGGTATCCAGGCTGTCGTGGCTTTTGAGCTGCTTTGTCCCTTCGGGGTGATTGTCCGGGGTATTTAGAGCCTCTAAGATTCCGTTACGCGTCTGGAGGGTCTGTGTGATGGCAATTAAGCTCTGTAATTAGGGAGACTGTCCCCTCTGGTGAACATAACCCTGCACGTCAGAGGGGCTGCGGCAGCATCACCTTTTCTTGGCCTAACGTCACGTAATTCTCGCTGTGGCAGAAGGGAGCTGCTGCTCTCACTCAACGCCTGTCTGTTAAACACGATGTATGTTTGAAACACGTTTGGATTGAAAAGCAATACATTCTGGTGACCTTTCACAAACAGGTGGCAGCACATATAGGCAGCGAGCATCATGAAGTCATATTTAATTCTGAAGAGGGCATTCAGGCCATAGAGGAGGTTGTCTTCTCCTTGGAAACCTATGATATAACAACAATAAGAGCTTCAATCGGTGAGTGGTTTTTAATCGCAGTCTTCGCTTTTTGTCACCTGAATAAAATTTGGTGCAAAATCACGTGGTCATCTACTAGATCCTGTCACAGCACCTGGGAACCGGGACTCCCCGCTTCTGCTCCCCAGTCTCGTCTGTGATACCGCGCTGAGGCAAAACCAGTTGTTAGTTTCAGAATCACCGGCTGTACAAAACGGTCGCCAAGAGCTGTTCCTGAAGCTTTGGCATGAAAACCGAGAGTTATAGGAGGAAAAAAACGTTAGATCCACAGATCTAGGTTTTGCTCTAAGTATGAACCTTGGAGAAAGAGGGAAAACTTACAGGTTACCTGAGGTACTGCAAGTTATGAGAGCAAAACAATTATGATTACCCTTTCCTTGCACAATTTTAATACTGCAGTGAAGAATTTCTCGTCACCCTCTTATAACAGATGTGCACTCGAGCTAGGTAGGCTTCTTATAATGTGTGTTTGACTCTGAGAAGTGAAGTCACCAGCAGCTTCTTGCAAAGGGTTGCCAGCCTGATAAGAATGAAAACCCCTAATCTAACGTGACCTTCTGTGTGGTGTCAGCTGCGACGTTTTACCCAGTTAATCTTGCGTCAGCCTAAAACATGAAAAAGTTAGTGAGCCAAAAAAGGCAACACAGTTCTGAAAACCTGCGTGGAATTTGGTGCGTGAAGACAGGACTTTGCAATGTGAGGTACTGAAAGCGTTTCTTTAAAAAAATAAAGGCAGCTTTTCACCTGGCATCTTTCTTTGCGATTGCTGCTTAGTGTGAGAAGTAATGGACTAGACCCTTTTCATTAGATGTCTAATAGTTTTGTTATAAAAGCGTGTTGTTTGGAAAGATGCCGTGAAGGGAAGGCATAATTCTGATTAATAAATAACTCTTTTCAAGAAAAAAAATGGAAAAAAGGGCTTCACCCAGTTCAACCCACAATGGCAGAGACTTAAACGGCAACTTTTGCTGGTAAATTTGTTCGCCAAAGCTGGAAGGTTTGTTCAGGAACTAATCAAGGGCTTAATTTCAAACTGAGTCAGAACAACTCCTCTGTGTGTTCCCTCGGGAATCCTCCAGCATTCCCAGGATCACAGAGGGACACATCTTTCCGTTATTTTGAGGGCTAAGTGTAAGTACGCAGTTTAGATGTATTTGCAGCACTTGGTTAGTCTGGCTGCTGGTGGCTTCGAATCACAATGAGATGTTATTTTAATTAATTCCTAATTAATTGCTACAGAAGAAGTAGTGTAGGAGAGAAACTTTTACAATGCTGAATTTAAACTGTAGTAGCTGTATGTAGCATCATACATGTAGCCGTATTTTGATAACTTCAGACTTTTTTTTCTTTTTTTAAGGTATGTATCTTGTCTCCAAATATATACGGAAGAAAACGGACAGTGTGGTCATTTTTTCAGGGGAAGGATCAGATGAGCTGACACAAGGATATATATATTTCCATAAGGTAAATATATTCCCTATACAGAAAGCCCTTGAGGTGCTTGTTCTTCCCCTCAGTGAAAAGTCGCTGGGATTTCAAGGTCTGATGTTTTGAGAGTGGTCACAGCTGTATATCTGTTGAGATTTTCTCCTGAGGTGGCGTCAAATCCAAGGGATTTCATTTAATCGCCTAAACCACAACTTTTTTAAACTCCAGAAATTCCCGAGACTGTTACTTGTTGTATGTGGTGTTTGCTGGTTCTGAGATCACTCGGCGATCACTACAGCTCCAAGGCAGGACAGCAGGTAACGCTCCCTCCGGGCAGCTGTGTGATGTCTGTCTGGTTACAGGCACCATCTCCTGAAGAAGCCGCAGAAGAGAGCGAGAGGCTCCTGAAGGAGCTCTACCTGTTCGACGTGCTCCGGGCGGACAGAACTACTGCGGCACACGGGTAAGACGTGGTCCCTTGGGGGCTGAGGGCTCAGGTGGTTTTTAAAAGCCTGAGGAGATGGGCACAGACAGGATTGGGGTGCTGTTTCTGCCCAGTAGGGTAGAGGAGGAGTGAAACTGCGAATCTTCATCGCATCTGCTTAGAGCAGCTCTTGATTCCGAAGCGAAAGACTGCTGGGGATGTGTATGCCAAGGTGAAGTTATAGCCTGAAGGAGTTTGAGCAGCAGCAAACCACGCTGCAAAATTTAATCTGGTCTGCTGTGATTATAGGTCCCCCTGTGTTGCCAGCTGATGTGGGAAATATCTTTTGTCTGGGGTTGTACTGGACTTTATAGCAGCAGTGAATTAGAAAGATAAATATGCAGAGGTAAGGAGGGAAGGCAAAGCTGTGTTTGACTTTGGGGTTGTTTGAGGTTTAGACGAAGAGGAATCTTGAATCTGATCATCAGCATGCGTATGAAGGATTAAAAAAACACATTAAAAGAGAAAATTATGTCCACTGAGGCGAGAAGGTGGCTGTCATAAAGAGATGTTAGGATACAGCCTGTGTGACTGATACCTTAAGGAATCACACTGCAGAAAATAGCATCATTTTACCAAAGAAAGACGTTGATCAAAAGGAGAATGTTGTTGGGAAGCTGGCTGTAGACGAGAAAAAGATGGTACCTTTCGTAAAGCAAACAACTTACCTGCTGGGAAACTTGAGTTGTATATTCATCCTGCCACAAAATGACCTGCCCAGTTGCTTGTAGCTTCCTTATGTTTCTCTTTCGTCTGTAAAAGGATGACGGGGTGCAGGACACCTGCCATTTGCCTCGTAATTTGGTTTGTGCTAAAAAGTTTGGCCGCATATTCAGGGCTGCTTAATATCACACTCTGGCTGCTCTTCTTTGGAGAGGTGCCACTTCTCGAGGAGAGGCTGAGGTCAGCTTCACAGCAGTGCTAGCAAGACAGAACCCTTACATTCACAAAGTAAAACTGAATTTAAGGGGTTCAGATTTATGGAGAAAAGGGAGAGGAGTTAAGAGTAGAGAGGAAATGATGAAAGTGCCTTTATCAGTTAGAAAAAAATAAAATAGGGAAAGCCCTGCAATGCAAATCTGGTCAGTGTGTGTCGAAACCGAGCCTCAGGACTGGATTGCCGAATGATGGTGCTTTTTTTTTTGGTAAGGTGGGTAGTACCTGAAGTAGTTGAAGCTTTTTATCAGAGGAGAAGCTACAGAGACAGTGAAATTACTGGAGTTCAGTGTAACATCTCCATTTGACTTTGAAGCTGGGCAGCTTCGTGTCTCGTGAGGAAAAACACTGAGCGGGGCTCTTCCTACCGAAGACACAGTCACTGTAATTTTATTTGTTGCCTTCAGTGCCCTTAGAAGCCGCGGTCTGCATAAGGGAGTGTAAGCAGGAGGGCTTTGTACAGGTGTATCTGCCGCTGGTACAGGAGAGAACTTGCTGTGCAGATGCTGCAGATCAGTAGTCAGTACCTTAACAGTGTCCGTGAGGGCTCCTCTTCGTTGTTTCTTGAAAACACGAATACAGATTTCAGAAGTGACAGCAGGACTCCTTGCTTGGTTCTGTTACAAATCCCAGTGAGCCACTTGGTAGTTCTCTGGGGGCAACAGGGTGGGGTTTCTTTCGATGTGTCTTTGCCTACGTGGTACAAGGGTTGCTGCAAATCCCGCAGGACCGTCGTCTCTGCGTTCGTTGCGCTGGAAGGTGTCCAGCAGGTGGCATCATAAATCATCGAGATCTTTGTGCAGACCGTACACTTCCCTTTCCAAACTGATGGATTAAATGCAGATCGGCATGAATATGCAAGTGGAATTTCTTCTGAGTAAAAGCAGAAAACTTGGTGTTTATGTGAAAGACACGGAAGACTGTTGTGGGATTTGTAAGCAGATGACTTGTTGGATTAATCCAGCATCTCTTCTATTTATTTCCCCTGTTTAGTCTTGAACTGAGAGTCCCATTTCTGGATCATCGGTTTACTTCTTACTATTTATCTCTACCAGCAGAACTGCGAATCCCAAAGGTATGTAGAACTAGGGTTGGGCCCTAGAGTGTAAGCTCACAAATTCACTGGTACATGTTCCAGGCATGACCAAATGGCTGAATTCAATGCTCAAGTCCTCTCCCCAGAGTCAGGCATGCCCTTCGATATTTTGCTGGATTGTTGGGCTACTGGGAACCTTTTTCTGACCAGCCCTTGTGAAGGGAAACCATTTCTTCAGGGTTAAAGCCAGGTCTTTGTGCTGCGGTTCCCGAGACTCACGGCGTTGTTTGTTGTTCTGCAAACAGAACGGAATTGAAAAATACCTTTTAAGACAGTCCTTTGAAGATTCCAACTTGCTTCCCAAAGAAATACTCTGGAGACCCAAAGAAGCTTTCAGCGATGGTATAGCATCGGTAAAGAAATCCTGGTTTTCTATTCTCCAGGACTGTATCGATCAGCAGGTACAATACCCCCTTTTTTTTTTGGGTCTTTCACATCGAGGTGTGTTAGTTGTGGCTGCCAAGGGGAGGCAGCTTAGTTGGGAGAATAAATCTGGGTATGACAGTGACTTGAGCTTCGTGGTGGAGGAATGACCAACCGTCTTCTAGCTGTCTGAGTTGGTTCAAGGCAGTTGAAATCCTGGATGCAAAGAAATGCTAGGGCCTGGCAGAGATGGCTGCGTGAGGGAATGAACATCATCTGAGTATCTGGCTTGTAAATTAGATTGTGTGTCAACAAACACAACTCCTGGGTTACACGCAAGGCAGCTGCTTCGGCTGGAGGCGCTTGCATGAACTTACTCTGCAGCTGAGTAACCGCGTAACTACTCCGTGATGTCCTTTACTGTTTGTGTCATTGGGGTTCCCAGCCGTGCCTGCCTCAGCCCTTTTGCTTTTTAAAGCCTCTGCTCGCATCGCTAACCAGGGAAGACTGACAGCGTTTGGGCTTTGGGGCACAGGATGATCATCTCGGGGCGAGGCAGAGGTAGTTGAGTCACCGAGAGGAGGGAATAAATAGCACCCAGTTTACACCAGAGCCCTGTCAGGCAGAACTAGGTGTAGTTGAGCCTGCGGAGGGGTGCGTCTGTCCCACCACCGACCGCTTCTTTCCCGTTTCCTTGTGACATCCGCGGGCAAGAAGGTCGTCGGGTCAGGCAGGCGTAGCAGGGGCAGATCTGTTCCGCGGCGGTGAGGAGTCAGGCAGCGTGGTGGCACTGGGAGCTGCTTCAGAACATACCTCAGCGGGTGCAACTGTTCATCCTCCCTTCCTTCAGGCAGCTTCGTGTCTTTGCAGCCCAGGCCTTTCGGGGGCAGGTTGTGCAAGCTCTCTGTGAGCCGAAAAGAAAAAAAAATTAGGAAGCCCCTTACACGGCAAAAGGCTGCTTTAGGTTGTTTGGGTTGGTTCACAGAAAGGGAAGGATAGGAAAGGAGTGTTTGTGAGCTTGCTGCTTGTAACCCAAAGAGAAATGGGCTTCTCGTATAACGCAGCGAGAAATACTAACAGCACTGGAAATAAAATGATGTATTCATAAAGATCAAGGGAGCCTACGACAAAAATTCACCTCTCAGGAGCCTCTAGAATAGGCTTTTTTTAAACCTATGGGCATTCAGTGGTTGGCGAGTCTTTAACTTGCAGCAAATTGACTTGTAAACGTTCAATGTATTTGCAGCTTCACTGGAGTTTTGCTTGTGTCTGTAGGTTGATGACCTTCTGCTGGAAAAAGCGGCGGAGAAATATCCTTTCAATCCTCCTAAAACAAAAGAAAGTTACTACTACCGCCAGATTTTTGAAAAGCATTACCCTGGGCAGAGCAACTGGCTGCCCCACTACTGGATGCCGAGATGGGTGAAAGCTACTGATCCTTCTGCTCGCACCTTGAAGCATTACAAGTCGGCTACCCAGGAGTAGGGTGTCGAAACCACCCCCCCCCAAATAGAAGTGCTGCGAGCAGTTGCACGCGCTCTGCTTTAAGAAAACAAAACAGATTATGCAAACCTAAAGCTTAAGTGGTCTTTAAGACGCCTTTTGACAATGCTGTTGGAAATAGGAGCTTTCTGTGGTCATTGTACTATGAAAAATTCACCCTGCCGTACCAAAATTTTGTAATTCGTGGGAAAATGCTTCATGAACCAGGACCTACCTGATTTGGCAGCTCTTGTTCCTTTTGTGACCTCGATTGTATTCGTTTGCCTTGCAGTCGTTGAGTAGATTTTCGTGTGAGCTCTGTTCCGAGGACTTGGGTGAGGCCAAGGGATGCAAACTGCCGCCGGCCCTCTGAGCCACGGGGACTTTCACCCTGGCTGTTGGTGATTTCTGCTCCTGGCTGTGGGAGGCGGACAGGCTGTCTGTATTATTCTGTTCTGAATTGTCTTTGTGAGCATTCCTGAGGACCTTGGTCTGGTTTTCAAAAGGTATTTCGATGCTCATGGCTATGCAGAGGTGCTTCCTAGAGTTCATAATAGTGGTGGTGCTGGGCATTAGTTGAATGAACGGGAATCTTATTCCTTCCTGTGAAGCCACCAGTTGGCTGTTTGGAATCTGGTGGCTCCTGTGACAGTCTGAAGGTCCTGTGACATGTCAAAGAGCGGGACAGACCAGAGAAGCCGAGTGATGCCTTTGTTTCTCAATCAAGGGCTTCGATTTTTAAATGTATTTATTGTTCTTGAAAATAGCGTGTTCGCTGGGTGACTTGTGCCAGTCTGGTGGAAGTGGCGTGGGTGAGTGTTGTCAGAAGTTTTTCACTTACTGTGGGAGTGTTTCCACCCGTGTGGTGGGAAGGTAGATAGTGTTGCTGCTCAGCCGCCTGTGGACCAACCCTGTTAACCACAGTTTTTAGAGAAAGCGTCGCTGAAGACGATGGGATCGGACACCTTGCCTGGAAAAATGGGGGAAAAGCTTCTTCAGAAACCGCAAACCCTGCTGAAAAACACCGGACTTTTTACCCACAACAACTTTTTATTGACTACTTAGGCACGGGGGCTGCCTTTTTGCAGGTAACTTAAGCATAAAGGTGGCCCAGAAATACACGTGTGCTGCGGATTGGCTTGATTAGCATCGTGCTCTCGATGAAGGCAGGAGTCTGGTTTATTGTCCCCCTCGACTAGGAAACCAAAGCCAAATGTTATTTAAAAAATAAAAGATAAGCAATTTTCGTTTAACATCTTCATAAACTGACTGATTGTCTATTTATTACTCCCCCCCTAATCCTGTGCTTGCATCTCTATTCCAGAAACCCTCCTGAAACCTCTCGGTGGTGCCGTGGAGCCCATGAACTGTCCAGCTATGGCCGGTAGTGGCCACATTTTGACAAAAATTCTCGCATACTAGTTATTCATGAGTATAGGATGAGTCAGGTAGCACCTTCCTGCGGCCTTCTGTGCTTACGGGCCACGTGCTTGGCTCTTTGGGTTTCTTTGAAGCAGTAAAGTTTTATTTTGACTTGGAGAGGAGCATGGGGTGTGTTGATTAGGTACTGATGTGTGAAGATAAGATTTACTACTCACTATGAACTTCCCAAGGCTGAGAGAACAGCGTTTGCTTGAGGTAAAAATAGGCTCAACGCATTTTGGGGTCATTACTCGAATGCACTCTGTGCTGCAACATTGTCAGCTCTTCGAGGAAATCCACCTTAATTTTTTTAAAATCCTAATACATTGGGCATTTGCGTAGCGAGGCAAGATCCTAATTATTTTAGCTCTTTACTGATGTGCAGAGGAACAACACAGTGTTTGCTGCCTTCTGGAAACGCTGGGGGCCTCAGGAGTGAAAACCTGTTCATTCCTCCTCCCTGTATAGACTCAACTTCTGCTTTTTGACTTCTGTGACGCTACTTTCTCTTATTTTCTTGGGTTTTTTTTTTTTTTTTAAGGTGAGAGCTGCTCTGGATCATGTGTTTGCCGTGTTTGTAGCTTGTCGCAGGAGGGAATGGGGTGCAGGCCCAGTGTGTGACACCGCCTCGTCCAGCTTTAGTTTTACCTTTCTTTCTCCCTTCTGCGGTCGCCTCCTTTCCTCGGTTTCTTTTGGAGAAAATTCAGC